GAGTAGTAGTAGTAGTGTGTGTGTGTGTGTGTGTGTGTGTGTGTGTGTGTGTGTGTGTGTGTGTGTGTGTGTGTGTGTGTGTGTGTGTGTGAGAGAGAGAGAGAAGGGTGATGTGGTCCTGGCTATGGACAATTAAGATTGTTTTGTATGGTGGGGTACAATGTGAGTGTTACAGACGTGGAGGTTTAAATAATCAAAATGGGGAGTTGCTGAGGGCCTGGACAAGAGTTCTGACTGTAAAAGGAGGTAATCCAGTTATAATTCCTACTTAACTTTAGTTCTCATTTAACTGTAGTTCAAACAGACATATGCTGTACATTTTGTTTTTAAAAAGCATAGTTTTAGGGCATCATTAAGATAAAGAAATCAAATACTCAAGTCAGGAAATGCAGTTTTAAGACTGAAAGTTCCACTTTAACTCTGCCTCCTTGGTTGTTTCTCTGCTGAGGTTTCTCTGAACTTCTCCCCATTGACCTAGCACTTGTGGCCAGCAGTGGGAGCACTAGTACAGGCCAGCCAGTTGACATTTACTGCTTTCATTGTCCATAGACAGGACCACTCTCTCGCTCTCTCTCTAGTTCACCAAGGAATATGCTGATGACACAGTAGTATAAAGCTGCTGGTGGCTAGTCTGTACTAGCTCTACCAGTTGCTCACACCAATGAAAATGCACTGGTGCTAAAGCACTGATGGAAGGAATGAAAGAAAATGCTTTCTGGACATGTTGCCTGTTTGCTTATACCTTTAAATGTGTTCTGATTATGCTAATATATCCGGGTGGGAAGATTGATAACATAGGATTCCATGATAAAAACCCTGTTTTCAGCATGTAACTTCCTGAAAGGTGAAAGCTTTTCCTCCTTGGTCTCTTGGCCCCTTACTCAGATCTACTGATACGTGGAGAACCTATTTAAAGCCATACATCAGGGGCCAGTGGATGGAACCCCAGACCGACAGCAGGCTGAGCAGCTCAGCCCACTGCTGGCCTGGGGTCCTGGCCGCTGTCCCCGCTCAGCCTTTAGCCGACCTGGATGGACAGAACCCCGGGCCGGTAGTGGGCTGAGCTGGGCCGGCGGCCAGGACCCCGGCTGGCAGGGGACAGCGGACAGAACCCCAGACCGGCTGAGCGGCTCAGCCCGCTGCCAGTCTGGGGTTCCGTCTGCCATCTCCACTGCCGGTCTGGGGTTCCCTCCACCGGCCCCTGCCAGCCGGGGTCCCAGCTGCCAGCCCCACTCAGCCTGCTGCCAGTCTGGGGTTCCGTCTGCCGGCACCTGTAAATGTAAAATGTATTACTGGCACCCGAAACCTTAAATTACAGTAAATAAATGAAGACTTGGCACACCAGTTCTCAAAGGTTGCCGACCCCTGCCATACATGGAAAGACTGGGCTTACATTGAGTTAAGGTTGCAGAGGCAGTTGTTCGCCTTTTTATATAGAATTGTAACTTGTCAATTAAAACAAATAACCTAGAATTTCTTATAATGCCTTATGTAACTTTTTCCAATTATACTAGGCCAATATCTAGATCATGGTAATTATAAACTGACAGATCTGTGTTTCACTGCCAACTGCCATGTCACATTATGCATGCCTTGGGGATACTGTGCTACTATGAGGACTCTTTCAGTACAGTAGAGAAATAGAGGTCAATATTTTCCATTTCCTGGAAACACATTCTGTTCTAGTTAAATTCACCAACTGCCCGTAGGGAGTTATGAAAATGGCATTCAGACAGAGTATCTGACACAGGAAACTGCTTTCAAAATTGATGTTTGTAAAGCACTTTGAAAATATAAAATGCTATATAAGTGCTAAGTAGCAACAGTACTGAAAACAAGGTTAGATCCAGAGCAAAACGACAAAAAATAGAAACATTTAACTGTAAGACAAGGAGTGAGTATATTTGTGCTCATTATCAAGAGAGCTTTATTAATATGAAATATTTCTATTAAAAAGACACCGTAACTAGACTTGTGGAAATGCATGAGAATCTGCTAGTGCAAAATATTGTCAGTGGATGGAGCAGCCTCAGAGCAAGCTGTGTTAGACAAGGCTTTGTACCTAATTCTCAGGATTGCTATTGTAAAACGAGAGTAATGAAAAGCTGAAAAAACTTACAAAATGGTCAAACATTAGAGAAAGTTAAGGGGGGAATACTAAGCACTAGAGTCATATCATGCTCCTTATTTCTACTTTTGAATTCTTGGTTGACAAAAAAGTTACAAACATCAACAATGCAGATACAGAAGTGAATAGGTAAAGTAGTGCCACAATTAATATTGCAGCATATATTAGATTCGTGTATTAGATCCAATATACTTGAGAAAAGCCTAAATGATAACTGAGGGAGTGCATATAGCAGCATAAAAATTGCTAAAAGCAAGAGGTTACTAAAGTTTACTAAACTGTTTTCTGTTTTTTTTTATGATTATTGGATATGATTCTACTTGTTTATTTCATAATATGAATACAATTAGTGGAATCTGGTATCCTAAAGTGAGCCAGCAAAAGAGCAACACGATGCCAAGCAAGGAGCAAAACAGGACATTTATACAAAAAGAGCAATTTAAGATGTGAACACACAGTGTGTTGATAGTTACTGACCTTGTCATTCCATTTTTTTCACTTGTTGCATTCCTCCATTGGACCTATTGAAGAGCAGACACCGATCTTCATGGATGTGGTGAAAAAAGTAGGCTGAGGACAGGGGCCTGAGCTTGTCAGTATTACTGAAAACTAAAGAGGGGCATTTGTACCAAGTGGGAATGTTACTGGGAGCATAAATGTGGGGGAGGGGGCCATAGCTATAGAAGCTAAGGTGGTCCATTGACCTTGGAACCTCGAATAAGGCATCTGGATTAAAAATATCCCCCTACCCTCCAGTGCCTGCCCTGCGCCCACTCTTCCCCTTCCTCTCCCCTTTAGCCAGAGAACTGCATGTTTTGCCAGCTGGCTAATAGACCTACACCCACGACTTCCTCTCTGCTTTGCCCCCTCCACGCTGCTTGGTATGTGTCAAAGGCGTAAATGAAGGGCTGTTAGGAGAAGAGTTCCCTCCTCAGCTTCTCCTGCATTAGTTCCAGCCATTGAACCCACTGTGGTTCACTAGGGGTCAGGTGAGACATCAGAGGAGAGGGCTGCTAGCTTGGTTCTTAAGACATCATCAGGACAAGACACTCTTCCCTCCATCATCATGGCTTGGTGGGAACTTGTTTCTTACCCTAAATTGGGTATATTTAAAATAAGATGCCAGCCCAGCTCCTCACCCACCTTCCCCAGCCTTTGATTTACCTGTGAATTTCCACCTTGAGGAGTGCCAGTGTAACAAGCCAGTAGATGCTTGTGAGATGGACACTGCTTTGGAGGAGGGGAATTGCTCCTCCTAGGACAGATGTATTTGGGGACAGAGTTATGGGGAACCTGCATAGGGACTGGCCCCCCTGACCATTTTCCATGTTAGGGAGAAGCAGGAATGTGGTGAGAGGAGGAGGAGGTGTTAAGGATATTAGAACATGAAAAGTTCATGAGGGGATTCCCTCATGTGCAGGAGCCCTAGAATGCTGCTTCCCCTTCTTCCCCGGGTGGGAAAAGCCAGGAACAGAGCCCAGCTTTGCAGCTGCAAAGGCAGCAATCCATACATCAGTGATCGTCCTTGTCACCACAGGAGAAGTCTGTGAATGCAAAACCACAAAACATTACAAATGTTACTTCATGCAGGGAAACAACAATAGGAAGAGCTGGGAAGTCTGTTTCACCCTCTTATTCTGACTGCCTATGCATTACGGAGACAATGTGGGTGAGGTAATATCTTTTATTGGACCAGCTTCTGTTGGTGACGGAGACTAGCTTTTGCACTTATACAGAGCTCTTTTTCAAGTCTGGGAAATGTACTCAGTGTGTCACAGCTAAATACTCAGGTAAGCTGTGGAGTGGCAGGGGGGAAGCGATTTCCAGCCTGTTCGTGCCCTGACCCTGCAGGCTCCACAGCAGCCCCGCGGGCAGCGGCTTAGCAACCTCTTCACCCGCCCTTCCCTGCTCTGTCCCCTAGGTACCCTCCGCTGCTGAGCCACCTCTCTGGACAGGTTCACTGAAGCCCCTACAGTCAGTTCCCTGGGCCCTGGTGCACAATGCATCCTTACGGCTTAACCCCTTCCTTCCCGCACTGTAGCCGGGGGACAGGAGGTGGCTGGGTTATGTTGGTGGCCAGCAGCAGCCTGGAAGTGTTAGCTGCCTTTCAACACTGTGTGGGCAGGAAGGGACAAGCTACATCCAGCCACTGTGGGATGCAGGGGGAGAAGAAGAGATGAGCTCTGCAAAGACACAGGCCAGGTCATCCCTCCCCCCTCCTCCACCCTCACACACCCACAGCTGGAAGCAGCTCCCGTCCCCTCCCGCACAGTGCTGAAAGGCTGCTGCTGGCCCCCGACATACCCCAGCCACCTCCTGTCCCCCGGCTACAGTGCGGGCAGGAAGGGGTTAAGCCGTAAGGATGCATTGTGCACCA